ACTGGGGTTCAAGGAGACAGAAGCAGAGTAATCAGAATCAAAATGGAGAACAACACAAACATCATTATATGTGGATTTTGTACTTCTGTATCTGGCGGAACCATGGACATGGGTAATATAATCTCCCACACAGTCAAGTTGGTTTCAAATGGCCCAAAGATGGAAGTAAATATCAGGGCATCAGAATCCCCCACTGTTAGAAAACCTACTGGATGTGGATTACAGAACCTTAAACACAAAACATTGGAGAGAAGCTGGACAGATGGTCGACACTTTGCTTATCCATGAAAGGCAGCATCGAATGTATACAAATGAATGAATGTACTAAATCCACATTCGATAAATTAGACAAGTTGATTACAAAGGCAATCAAAACGCCAGAGGTCAAATACTTCAGCTGCCCATCATGGGGGTCTTCTACTGAATCGATCACCATCTCCTTGGTCTTCCTGGTGTTCAGACACAGGTGGTTCTTCTCACACCAGTCCACAATGTTCACCATCACCGATTGTTCAAAGACCATCATTGGTCTTTGAACAATTAAGAACAGAATTCACACTCCCCAATACAGGTTTGTTCAGATATTTATCACTAAGGGACTTTGTAACAAAACACAGAGAGGGGACTAAAATCTTAGAGCCCACCCCATCCAAGAATTCTTGATAAAATTGGAAACAAAAAATAAGAAAATCATCAGTCATGTTTACAAGCTATTTATAGATATGAATTCTAGACCAAAGAAACATGTGAGAGTGAAATAAATATAGACATAAAGCAGGACAGGTGGGAGGAAATATTCACTGCAGCACATCCAGTCACTAACTAATACATGGTGGGAATTCAGGTAATAATGGGATTCTATAGGACTCCAGCGGTCAGATCCAACATGAGAACATTACAATCAGATAAATGCTGGAGAAGTTTTGGGCCACATTTTCATAAGCTTACTTGTATACTTTGGAAATGCCTTAAATTGAGAAAAATGTGACATTTTTGAGGCAGTTAGAAAAGTCAAAGATCCTGAGATGGTGCTGCTCGGATTAACTCCAAATGGCTTTACTAGAAGAGGAAAAACTACCTTCTACTAATATTACTGATAGCGTCTCTTAAGTGTATCAGAGTTAAATGGTTGAAGGCCGACCCACCAAAAAGTCTGGGAAATCTATTATAAGGAACAAATCACTTATCGCCTGAGACTTCAGAAAGACCATACTAATCCTAATTCTAATTCTCTTTTTTTCTAACTTTATATTTCTCTGTGATTTTTACTTATTTTTAGTTTTGTTTTTATTTCACTCATTTATCTTATTTTCTGCGGCTTATTAATTTACCAACTACAGCTATATTTGTATGTTACTCTTGTTTATTCATGTAACTTCCTTTTCCTGCAAGTTTAACCCGATGCAAATACTTTTACATTTGCTTTAAATATCTCCTAAGTGAGGAGCAGCAGACTAAATATGGGCTTGTAAATAAATGTCTATGTTAGTTGCACAAATTCTAATAAAAAAAGGATGCATGCAGCTTCTGCTGTAGTGAGAGAGAGTCTGTTTGCTGTGGCTCTGCTCAGAGAGAGCAGGACGTTTCCAGGAGCTCGTCCTCCTCTGGACTCACTCTGAAATACGTTTCTCTGCATGCCTGTTAGCCGAGCTCAGCATCAGGATCCCGCCAGAAAGGCAGGAGTTTACGGAAGGCGTAGGATGAAGCTGCATGAAGGAACGAAGCTCTACAGGGTGATGATGCGTCCCATTAATGAATGAATTCATTGAGTGAGTTCCCTGTGTTGGAGCAGAGACTGTGGTTGAGGCAAGGCATCGTTTCAGACAGACGGATGGAAAACCTGAAGCTTCCACCTTTTATTGTTTTCTTTCTCGATGCACCAAAGCTGTCGCTCTGAAAATGGCCCTTTGAGTCCCTTACATTTAAAAAACATTCTATAGCATCAATTTCTAAGAGATGGAACTGTTCAAACTAAACAATAGTAGCTATGCAAAAGTCTGTAACCTGAAACATTCTACCAGTGAAAAGAAAAGACTGACTGCTGTTTATTGATGCTCCCTGCCTGCAGGAAGAGGTTGCGGTTAGAAACTTATCTAAATCAAACTCATAGACCTAAAATAGATCAGATATTATCAAACTGTTTATTCTAAAGACATTTTCCATTTATTGTGGTCATTGACTGGTGTCCGTAGCTAAGCCACTCGTCCTCCATCCGTTACCGTGACGATCCTGTCCAACAAACTCTGCCGTCGTCCCATTTAGCAGATCTATCTCTGATGTCATCTCAGACCTTTATGGCCACAATACCTGGTTGACAAAAATGACTAAGGTGTTGCTTGTAACTCTTCCCCACAGTTTGAGAACCACGGCTTCAGTCTCTGTCTGGATCTCTGACATTTATACCCACTGGGATGGTTATGAAGGAAAACAAGGATCCCGGAGGACGACTGAGTTGGTATCTGCTGGTTGTTCATGTGTCTTCCTGAAAGACCAGATAAGGATCCGTTTCTAATGGTCCAGAAGACTCCCAGGGAGTTTTATTGGATAGCTTTGCTTCTTTAGAGGTTCACTACTGAGGTTCTCTCAGATATAAGAGGAGACACAAGCTCACATCATCTCAGATGCTCTACCATACCTAACCATACATTAGGGAAATCACCAAGTATTAAAAACCTGAGAGAAAAGGTGTTCTTTAGAAATGTCAGGGGTATAAACCTGCCTTATGGAGGACCGGCTGAGAGAAGACTTGCTTCCCTCTTGACTCTACCTGGATAATGTGGCTGTCAACTACAAACTGATTGATTATTTAAAGCCTTTCTGGCTTCAGGCCCCCCAGGGTCCAAACCACAACATTTCCTGCCTCAGTCTGTCCAAAAATAAAAGGAGTGAAGCTGTAGTTAATGAATTGGTCCATCACATAGACATTGTTATAATCTATTAACCTATTTTCAAACCAGTAAAAAAATCTAATGTTAAAGTTTAGCTCAAAACAGCAAATATAAGAAATACATTCATTAAGACATGGTAAACTAGTTGGAGAAATTAGGCACCAAGACCCAAAGTCAGAGAGCATTGAGGAACATTTAGTCTTCATCATTATAGCAAAGCTTTAGAGTTGGAGTTCAGAAGCCAAGACACAGAGAAGACATCAGAGGAGTGAAAGTAGGAGAGTTTCTAGCAGCTACTCTCCTTCATCAGACTCTGGCTGCTTACCTTCCTGGGTGGCGGCTGCATGCTGCGGCGGTCAGCTCTCCGTCTAACTGTTGCAGTTTGGTTCAGCTGCTACTTCCTCAACACAAGAACTCACATCTCTCTCTCTCTCTCTCTCTCTCTCTCTCTCTCTCTCTCTCTCTCTCTCTCTCTCCCCTTCCTCCATCATGAGGAGTCAGCATGAATTAATCCAGCAGAGGGCAGCAGAGACTGGTCAAATCTGCTCTCGGCTCACGCTGCTTTCATCATTACTGTGAAATAAGCTCTAACCAAATGCAGGCTCGGGGTGCATTTGGTGACATTCAGATTTCAATTTATTTAGAACATTCTGAAGTGACAGAGATGAATAATAACTCTGATGGACTCTAACCCTCCAATCAGATGTCCTCTTTTCTCTTTCTACCTGGCCTGGAGTCCTCAGTCTTCTGAGCAGTGGTCCCTTCATTGAGCTGACCTTCACCACCTGGTAGATGTTCACATCGCAGCCGTCCTGTCAGCTCTTTGTCAGATCACCACCTGAAACATCAGAGCATTTTATTTGGATTTCATGTGTCTTATTTTATCGAATCCAATGTTTTAATTTAATGATACTATTTTTGTTTTGGATCAGTTTTACCTGCTTGTTGATGTGTTTGTTTTACAGAGCAGGCCACCCTTGGATCTAAGTGATGCTGGCTGCATGAGCAGGTCAGAGAGGGAGGAGTTTGAAAGAGTCCAACGTGCTGGACCTCAGAGAGCTCTAATCAACCCTACATTTGGTCATGGAAGGAGGATGGACCTACGAGGACACAAAGGTCCACCTAGAGACAGACTTAAGAAGAATAGCATTGATTATTGAACACAGATCTTCTACAGTTAGGACAGCTGTTAGGATAAAATGAAAAACTGGTAAGAGATATTCTTTCTAGAAGGGTCTCCATCATCAGTCCTCCTTCATAAGGTCTCAATCAAACATCAAACAGATCTGAGCAGGTGACCAAGAAGTTGTTCTGATTCTAGTGATGATTTCTAGACCCCAGGTAAAATCTCTTTCCTAACAGTGAAAATCCCAGTTTTCCCAGCAGGCGGAGTCCTCTCTGGACCCTTTTAATAATGGGGTCTGTACAATTATTGAAAGTTAAGAGTGAATCCACCTCAGTTCCCAAGTATTTAAAGGACTCTATCTACTGGCGCAGAGGGATGCTTCTGGTTCTGTCGCAGCTGCACAACTCTGGGTTTTTGAGATGTTGACTTTCAGTAAAGTGTAATCTGTATGTTTATGCCTCCAGATGTTAATGACTCTAAATGTTAATCACCACAGATGTCAATGAGTCCCAATATTAATGACTCCAGATGTCAATACCTTCAGATGTTAATGACTCTAAATGTTAATCACCACAGATGTCAATGAGTCCCAATATTAATGACTCCAGATGTCAATACCTTCAGATGTTAATGACTCTAAATGTTAATCACCACAGATGTCAAT